AGAGAGAGAGAGAGAGAGAGAGAGAGAGAAAGGGGAATCGAAGAACACGTGGACAAACGGTTTTTTCTACGCTTCTCGTCCGCGGATTTACCTCTTCCTCCTCCCCAGGATGGATGGATACAGCGCAGGAAAGTCTCCTCTACCCTAAGGTCAAGTACCTTACCCACTTCCGGCGTTGCGATTCACACATCGTCGCACGTGTCTTTTATTTAACACACGGATGACCTCTCTCTGTTTTTCTCTCAGGGAAGAGGATTCTCACTCTCTCCCCCTCCCTTTTTTTCGCCTCGTAATTACGTCGTAATTCGCGATTCCCTTCGAGAATTTCCACGGAACTTTTCCATTTATGGCCGATAATCTGTGGTTCGTAAAGAAGGTAAGGAAGAAGACGGAAGAAAGGTGTGTTGCGTATCATTGTAACGTTCCTTGAAATGTTGAATTTGAATGTTCAAGTGAGCGAGAGTGTTGTTGCATCGGTTAGAGAGTAAAGTATTCGATTTGTTTTTTTTTTTTTGTCCATTTTATTTTTCGAATCATTATGGCATAGGTTATAATAAGTTTCGTTGGGTTGAGATACCTCTTCTTTCTTATATGTGTAAAAGGAACGGAGAAAGAAGAAAGAAATTCTCACCGAAATTATAATTGTTAATGAATTGATAAAAAAGTTAATAATAAACACGATAATTAGTTTCAAATTTATTAATCCAAAGGATAAAACAATCGTGGTCTACGTGAAACGGGAAATTGTTTTTCTTTTTTTTTTTTTCATTTTTTAAATTTCAGATACTGGAAAACAAAGGATAAATAAAATTGAAGATACGTAACTGCTCTTTTAGCGGGTTTATTCTATCCCAACCAATTACGCTCGTCAACCAATTTTAATATCCATTTTCACTCGTTCTTTAAACATATTCCACGAAACACATTAATTTATTCTATTGTATAAAATAATCTACTCTACCCATTAACCTGACGAATAAACTTCTAAATTTCCCAACCTTCTCGATATTAAACGTAAACTCCTCGAAAACAAAAGTTGAACACCCTACAACTATGATGATTTTCATAGTTTTTTGCTCTACGCACATTTCTTCGCCTCGAAAGAACGAAATCGAAAAAAAAAAAAAAAAAAACTTAGCGGGGTAAAGGTTTCTCGGAGGAGGGGAAGAAGAGGAGGAGGAGGAGGATCGGCTCGAATCGTGAGCGCAAGCGGCTTTAATAAGAATCCCTTCACCAGGAATCTCGGTTCCTGGAAGAAGAATCGATGTATACCAAGCGTGCAGAATCCTCCGTTTTTCCCAGTCCCAGCTTTATCCCAGATCCGCCACGCGGGGTATAGGGGAAAAGAAACGTTCGAAAAACCGCGAAAGGAATCGCGTTTGGAAGCGTGAAACGGAATGGTTCTCGCTTGGTCGACGACCTCCTCGTCTCTTTTATTTTTTTTTTTTTTTTTTTTTTTTTTTTTTCTTTTCTTTCTTTTTCCTGTTCCTCGATTCCTGTTCGACTCCTTGCCACGAGGATATCGACTCGACTCGACCCGAGGAACGTTTGCAACAACGACGTTGTTGCATTTTCGCGTGCGGTTAATTGGCTCCCGCTCGCCGGCGGGAAACGTTCGTATATCGCGTCCCGGAGAGAAGAGAGGAGGAGGAGGACGGGTGGGAAAGGATGGTTGTCAACCTTAAATGGCCCCTCCGACTAAGAGCTAATCACGCTCCTCTCGTTAATCCGTTAATTAGTCAACGCACCGTGGTGGTTTCGACGGTTCCATCGATTATCATCGTTGTTACACATCGCTTACGTAAAGAGGGAAAAAAGTGTCACGGAAAGATCTTTCTCCTCGAGCGCAATTCTTCCTTGACTTACTTACTCGGTTATTTACCACGGTAAAAAAAAGAAATAAAGAACAGAACGCTGAATCTTCGTTGTTTACGTAACCTTTGTATAGGTTTTTTTTTTATTCGAATAGGCTACGTTTTAGGTTTGAGTCGCATAGCGCGATGATCTGTGCAAACGAAGGAAAAAGAAAAGCGATTATTCGATTGAAAAAAAGATCTATCCTCCTTTTTCTATCCTCTTTATTCGCTCCTTGTCGCTCCACTCGAGGGAAGAGCGATGTTAGAAATTATTACACAGCGGCGAATTTTTATCGGTTCTCGAGGTAGAGAGAAAAAGATGGGGCGAGAGAATCAAGTTCACGACTCTCTCATCGTTGTCTGCCCCATAGGCAGATAGGGATAATAGTAAATCGAAAATGATCGTTGTCACTTTTTTTATCGGCACCGAATCGCTAATTCCTTTTAAACGGATGTTGAACATTCGTGGATTATTTTTAACGTTTCTCTCGCTCGACTGTTTTGTAATTAAATAGCTTCGACGAGTGAGTTCGCGACTTCGTGAAATTATGAATTCAAAATGAAGTTTTTCTCATTTAATTCTTTATTTTCTTTTTTCTTTTTCAACGGGATAATCATAAAACTTGGCATCGTCGTCGCTTCGTCGATTAAATGAGAGAGAGAGAGAAAAGAATGTTTATTCGTTCATACTCGATTTTCTTGCAAAGAAAAAAAGAGAGAGAGAAACGGCGAATTCCATTTCCTCGTTCCTATGCAATCTGTATCGAACGATCGTAATCGATTCGCAATGGATTTGTTTAACGAGTAATGCGTGAAAGAAATAAAGAATTCTTGCGAGAAAGAGGAAACTTTCAAGAGAATCTAGTCTAGTTTTTATCGAGTAACGGTAACGATTTATATTCATATAATCTAAAATATAAAATATCGTTGTGCAAATTAATCCGATAATAAAAATTAATCTAACGCTAATTCAACAAACAGTAGAAAACACGAAAATGAATTTTTCACAATTGATATTTGTATTGGATTGTTCGATCTAGTAGCAATTTCTCGAATCATTATTTGTTTGCTTCGATCGCCTTTATTTTGTCTTCATTCAACTAATGTCATCTTTAATATCGAAATTGTTGGAACGAAATTTTGAAAACCAGTTTAGACACTACCTCTGTTAATACACTTTCTGCATCATTCACGTAACTTTTTTTCTTGCCTGGACAGCATTTTTACTTTTTTTATAATAAAAAAGTAAAATATGCTTCTTCTGGTCTTGTATCTTTGTTATCACGCACAAAAAATACAACCGCACAGCCGAATCGAACAAATTTTTCTTATAAATAAATCACAAAATACCAAAACTCTCAAAATATACGATACAACACGGTTTAGAATGAAGTTGGCTGCATAAAACGTTCGACTAAAGCGACACTCGTGTGAGAAAACGAAATTACTTTCCAAACAGCCAAATTATTTGAAATTAGTTACACATCCACTTATTCACGTGATAGAATAATGGATAAGATTCCAGTGTTAAAAATATATGTAACTTATATTATTTTCAATTTGAATACGAGTGAAAAATTCATAAACGAAGAGAGAAATTTTTATTAAAAGATTTTTATATCTTCGAATACGCATTGTTATTACCTCTATCCATGTGTAGATCTTTTTAAAATTTCTCATTGTCATTCTCATATACGAAAACTTCCTAACCGATTGAACGCGAGCCACTTCATTTTCTGTACTTTAAGAAACTACAACTTTTTTCACTTTGATATTCAATGTAACTTAAAAAGTGATAAAAAAATAAATGAAAAAAGTAATTGAAAGTTTATCGTTTAAAAAAAATTAATATATTAAACGCAGAATAATTTTATACAAAAATTTCGATCGATCATCTCGAGATTGATAACAAAATTAGTATCGATAATAATAAAAATTATTGTAACTACCTCAATAGCAGCTAATTTTTTTTTTTATTTTAAAATTAAGGCTTTACTCTTTAATAATGACACAAGAAAAAACAGTGAACACCGTTAAACTCCTTTTTAAAATTAAAATTAAAAAAATATCAATAATATCAAAATGAAATTTGGCGATACAAACACATACCTAATACACTTAATTCGATTAAAAATTAATGAGATTAAAAAAAAAATAGCAAGATTGTAAATAATAACTTTATTTTCCGATTTGAAGATTTATCACCTTAAAGCCATATAATTGTTAATAATTAAAAAAAATATGAAAAAAAAATCATACTGTACTGGGCCAAATGTTCAATCAATTATAAAAATTGTTTCATTACTTATGAAAAAAAAGTTCTTTCCGTTTTTCGGAGATAAATATCCTGCTGCGTGCAACGGTTCGAGCAAAAGTAGACCGAATTATCAATGGCCGAAAATTATAGTGTTCGATGGTATTAACAAAGTATCGCGACGCCTCGACCCGTTGCCGAGGATAAAAGTGCGAACCGTTTGTAATTGATCGGACACCGTTACATCATTCGCTTACTCGTCGAATCGACGCTCTTCTCGATTCGATTTACAGTTAAACCACTGTACTACTAATAGATAAGCTGAATGGAAGGAGAGTATCGTGGGAGAACGGATAACAAGGAGAACGTTATAAATTGAAAATCAATTGTTACGACGTTGTTCGTAAAATTTTAAAGGCGATCTTTTTTACGAGTCTTCCTTTCGCGCCGAGATTTGTAAAAAAAAAAATAGAATTATCCAAATTGGTCGAATTTGAAATTAGTAAGAGTGGGGAAAAAATGCGATATCTGAAGTAAAATTTAATAATCGAAATTGCTAGGTAATTAGTGGAAGTAATTTTGTTCAAAATTTTTAACCAATTAAAAACTTGTTTCTTTTGGGCGAATGCTTAACTGTGTGTTATATTCTCTTTACAGCGACCGTTGGGATAGCGAGCACTGTGCAGATCGAGTGTGCGAGTGAGTCGATAATCGTGCACATCTCGACCGAGGGAAAAACGGATTTCCATGGTCTGGTGTATCCTAGAGGGTTGTCGAAGAACAGCTCTTGCCTGCAAGAGTACAGAAGCCAACCCACCCCTATAACTTACAACCTGCCCCTCAGGTCTTGCAACACCATGCCCACGCAATTGGTAAGTGACGAAAATTAATAAAACACGATAATCTTTCATTTTTTGTCAATTTATGTCGGACGATTTATCGTTCTCAGCGACGAGAATGAAAATACGTATGCTCTAAGTTTTCTGACCCTGTTAACAGGCTCACAATTTATCCGAGTTATTAGATTCTCACTTGGGTTGCACAATTTCTGAACGCTCGTCATTCGTGATAATTGCGCGTTATCGAGGTTAATAACGGTCGAATCGTTGTACCTTCGGCTAAATAACACTTTGATGATCGTTTATCAAGGGAAATGGTTCGTTCGTGTAATCGATTTTTTTACATCGTTAGATAGAAAACGAGCACCAGCGAATCCTCATTATGGTGGTTCGAATTAAGTTCGATATTTTCAGTCGATAGAAACTTTGACGATCTATCAAGAAAAAATGGTTCGTTTATTCTGTGCAATCGATTCTTTTTACACCAATCTTACGACAAAGGTTCGAGTTCGATTTCCAATCGATAGAAATTTTGGCGATCGTCTAAAGAAAATAATTCGTCACTTGTGTAATCGATTCTTTTTTACACCGATCTTACGACAAATAATCGAGTTTGATTTCCAATCAACAGAAACTTCGAAACGATCATCGAATTACCAAATTCCCGTGCAATCCCATTTTCCTTCCTTCTCAATACAAATAAACATTGAATAAATCACACGTGAACAGAGATATCGAAAAATAAGCACGACATCTCGACGAATAATAATCCCCTTCTGTGTCGAATTCCGTTTACCCATGCGCCTCGAGTACGGAATTAACTTCCCCTCGAAAACGGAAAAAACACCGTGACGCTGACTAATCGTTAAAGGTGCTCGACGACGCGTAAAACGAAATTACGTAAGAAATCACTCCGTGAAAGAAGCGGAATAACGTTTCGAGCACGAAGGAAGACGCTCGATCGACGATGCGACGTTATACGCGACTCTCAGGAGGGAGGAAGGAAGAGGGAGAGGAAGGGGGAAAAAAAGGTGCGGAGGCGTGAACGCACGCGCAGTAACACGCGCTAGAGGAAGAAGCGTGTATTCGAAGAAGGATGGAGGGAAGGTGAAGCGATGCGCGCGAGAAGAAGAAAAAGGGAAGAGGGAAGAAAATACTAGGGACGGAGGAGGGCTGGTTCGTGTAACGAGGGAATCGTGTGTCGAGGCGAGAGATCGCTTCCTCGCCATACCATAACTGGACCGTTATGTGACCGGACTTACGGCCTTCTTCTTACAAGAGAGCGTTACAAGAGAGATATGTAGTGTGCCAGAGACTAACGCTTGCTACGCCTTGTGTCCTATAGCGATATATATATATATATATATATATACGTTTGCGCGCATGCAAACGCGCATGCAAACGCGCATGCTCGTGTCCTTAACGGAACAGTGGTTCCTTCCACCATTTTTCTCTCGATAATGAACCGGCTGATCACGATTTTCTAATCCAAGGATTCCAGGATTGAGGTACCCCTGTAGGACTTGTTGTCTTCAAGACGAGAAGCAAATCTACTTTTGACAGGGATTCGGCAGGAATATTCCTTAAGAGGTACGAGCAAAATTTTTAAAAGTTAATATCTCGAAGCGTGGAATAACCAACGTAACGGTGAGGTTATCTTGAGTAAAGTTTAAGAAATTATTTTGCTTCTTTCGATTAATTTGTTTCTAACTCTGTTTTCAAGCGTGTTCGATTAATATATCTCAAATGTTAAACTGTTCCAAAGCGAAGGGAAAGACATTCTCTACCGTTCAATGAATATATCTTATACCGTAGATTCGTATCATTTGGAATCATAATAAAACCTAGCCGATATAATACGAACGATTTTCCTTCCCATTTTTTCGATACGAATTTACCATTGTTCCGATAATTGAGAATATCCATGAGAACAGATTCGAGGCGACTGTGAATATTTACAACAAACAATCTTAAATCTATATACGTATCTGATCGTAGATCGATGGATAACTGTTATAAAAAGATCCTCGAGGGAAGCGGGTTGGCGTCGATCGATGATGAAAGCCCTCGGCTTGTGGAGGATTATAATCACGATCGATCCATCGTGTCTTCGAGAAAAAAAAAAACCCTCTTCGGACACCCGTTGATTAAACTTCTACGAGACCTCGTACAAGACTCGAGAAGGCTAAGAGAAGAAGCGAGGCCGACTTCTCTTTAGTTGAGCGCCTCGAGAGGCAAAGTCGCGCGTCTTATTTGGTAAACACATCGCGAAAGAGAAGTTTCCGTGAAATACGTATGGCATTCCGGCGACTACTCGCGATTAAAGAAGGGAAAAAGCGCTCGAGTGGGCCGACTAATAGCGACACTCGTTGCGATCGTCGAGGGTCTGCATAATAATTTAAGGGTTGGTATGTCGAGGGGAGAACAATTTGTCCTCTCCGTAAGGAAGGACATCGAAGGTGAGCGGAGTCTTTGACCTCGGCTTGATTCCTTGAGGTGCGTGGGCGTTGAAGGAACCGTGGGCCCAGTTTCTCTTTCTCGGATATCCCGTCGGGATATCGTTGTTGCCTGTTCGTAAACTGTTCGAACGATTTTACGGGATATGTCGTGGAAATATTTCTTCCATGCAATTCTTATTCCGGTTGAACTCGATTTGAAGGGAAGGTTAAAATTAATAAGCTTTTAAGAATTATCTAAATTGATATTGTTGGTCGTGCAATATTAACACCGGTCCGCGTGAACTTCGAAGCCATAATAAGGCTTCCATAATAAATTTTGTCTCGTGTACTTAGGAATAAAGTAGGGTTTTACGCGTGCAAAGTGTTTGCGATGTAACGGGACAGGATATTAAAATGGCGATACGAAATGGCAACCTAATATGGACAACCCGGGGGCCTGAGTTTTCGTCGCTTACGCAATCGATTTCGAGTGACGTGTTAATATTTCCTCGCGTATTTAACCATCAATTGTGCAATACACCTTCGACAAAAAGATATAACTAATTTTTTCTTATCGATATAGATCATGTGGTAATTATTGTCTTCTTCTTTTAGAATATTCGTTATCAATGAAGATAATTTCTCTAATTTCTTTTCATTAGTTCCATCAATATTTTCGAAATCTAATTAGAAATATTGTATTCTTTTAGAATATTCTCTCGTTAAGATCAGTAGTTGAGATTAATCGCGAAAAGGTAGCAAAGAAGATAATTTTCATCAATTCCATTAAGAAATCTGATCAGAGTTATCGAAACATCATCTTTTATCGACTCTTTTAGAATATTCGTTATCATTAGTTAGAACTCAATTGCAAAAGATAGCAGAAGTGATAATTAATTTCTTTTCACCAGTTCCATTAATATTTTCGATATCTGATATCAGAGTTATAGAAACATTTTTATCTTTTTTTAGAATATTCGTTATCAGTAGTTGAGATTTAATTGCGAAAAGGTAGCAAAGAAAGTAATTTTCATCAGTTTCATTAGGAAATCTGATCAGAATATTATAGAAATCGCTTTTTTATCTTTTTTAAAAATATTTATTATCAATTGGAATTCAATTGTGAAAAGATAGGAAAAAAGATAATCCTCTAATTTCTTTTCATCAGAAAATTCCATTAAAAAATCCGATATCAGACTTATAGAAATATCCTCTTTTCATCCCCCTTTTAAAATATTCGTTACCACTAGCTGGGACTCAATTGCAAAAGATAAGAAAAAAGATAATCCCCTAATTTCTTTTCACCAATTCCATTAGAAAATCCGATATCAGATTTATAGAAATATTCTCTTTTCATCCCCCTTTTAGAATATTCGTTACCATTAGCTGGAACTCAATTGCAAAAGATAGCAAAAAAGGGTACTTAATACGCGAGGGTACTAATTTCGAAGAGATAAGTAATTTCTTTTCATCGCTTCCATTCCAGCATCTTACAATTCTCTTCGGTCGAAATTTTGCAAACGAATACGGAATCCTAGAATGGATGGTCTTTTTATCTTGTTTTGGGATTTATTCGTTATCTGGGATTCAATTGCGAAAAGATAGGAGAGAGGGTGATTCGCGTGGTTAATTTCGAATGGAAACGGTCGAATAACAGCGAGCAGAATCTTTTCACGAGGCGATATGACCGCGAGCGTTTCGCAAACCGATCCTGGCTAAAACCGGCATCGGATGTTCGCACAAGCATGCAAATAACACCGCTGCCAGCTTGCGTTACTCATTAATGGCATCGTATCTCTATTCGCTTCCCTATTCCATTTATACGTCTCGCCCAACCACGTGCAATATCCTATCGTATCCTTCAACGCTGGAACTCGAGTTAATTTTTATTATCGAATCCCCTGTGCGCGTGTATTATTATCATTTTATACGTATATGTGAATCTTCATAAATATAAGATTAAAAAAAAGTATGTTTTTACAAAATACAAAAAAATGTCGCGATCAATCGGTATTTTTTCTAATAATTTTTGGCAAGATTAATTTCCCAAATTTACAATAATATATCTCCTTTTATATTTTCAATGCGATTTCGTATTTTTTTTTAAAAATTCTTTTTTCGTAATAAATAATAATTCAACGCTATTATAAAAGTTATCAAAAAAACTTCCATTATCATCGTAATTGTGCCCATCTTTTAACACGTTTCTTAGAATCTTACGTGTTAAAAATCGTCGAAGAAAAATATAGAAAAATCTTCGTTACATTTTTGGATCGAAAAAATTATAAACGATTTAAAATTTCATAATTTACAACTCGTAATGAATAATTCGTCAAAGAGAAATATTAGGTGGAATAGAAGGCGAGGGATTCGCATAGTTCGAAAGTTCCTCCTCTTTCCCCCCGCGCATAATTCGATTTAGAGTGGAGAATAATATTTCAGACGTAGGAGACCGCACGCATAAGCCATACGCTTGTTTTTTACGAGCGCGCAAAGGTCAGAGCCTCTCTTTCGGCTACAATGTCGTCGTCGAGGAGAAAAAGAAGAGGGAGAGAGAAAGAGAGGTCCTTAAAACGACTATCGCGAGTGGGACGA